TTCAACAGATATTTTTCAAATACCCATAGCATTCAGGGAGATAGATACATGAGTGAACAAAAAGTTTCTACTGAAATGAGGGTGCAACATCCCTTCAATGTAGATAGTAGATATATAAAAACCAAAAGCTTTCTCTTTTCACTTAAAAATATACTGTTGGCCGGGTGCAGTGGCTCACACCTGTAATCCCAGCACTTTGAGAGCCCAGCCCTTCTTGTCTATGTGATTAACCACCCATGACTGATCCACTCATCCAGTTACGAGCCCACCTTTGTCTATGTGCTTGTGATTGACCCACTGATTTATCCAGTTGTCAGAGATACAAGAAATAGACCTCATTACCATGATGTCAGCCTCCCGCACCCAAAAGAAGCTTTAAAGGCTTTCAAACTCAAGCATTCACTGTCACACTTTAGTGTCTGGCCCCCTCTCCAATCTTGGAGAGGTGGATCTACCCTTTTTCTCTGATCTACGTTTTAAATTAGCTGTTTTTCCTAATCTAAATTCTGGGCAAGTCTGTGCATACCTGCAGCACTGGCTCAGCCCACCGACCATATATATATTATTTTTTAAAAGGTGTTATCTGTGTATTACTTTTTGAAGTTGAATTGAATTATGGTAGCAATGTGTAGTTTGACGTTTGCTCAACCATGCTTCTGCCATTTTTTTTTTTTGGCCTGCCTGTCACATGGTGACACTATCATTCATTTGATTAATGCCATCTTTTGAGCAGATGTCATACTTTAAATGTGTATACATTTTGGGGGCACTTCGTGTGTGTGTGTGTGTGTGTGTGTGTTTGAGTTGGGGTCTCACTCTGTCACTCAGGCTGGTGTGCAGTGGCATGATCATGGCTCACCATAACCTCTAACTCCTGGGTTCAGGTGATCCTTCCAGCCTACCAAATAATTAGGACTATAGGCATGCACCACCATGCCCAGCTAATTTTCTAATTTTTTATAGAGATGAGGGGTTTGGAGTGGAGTCAACAAATTGATTCTGACCAATGGAAGCAAAAATATATATATATATTTTGCAGGATCTTGGGAAACAATGGAAAAACCAAGCTTAGAAAGTTACGGGAGGGTGGCAGCCACTCACCCAGCCACTGTCAGCCATCCGAGTAGCCCAAGCTTTCACATCAGCCATTTGACTCTCAGCAACTCCACTGCCATGGCCAATAATCTATAGCTACTCCACTGTTGTTGTCCACTCCCTTCAAATTCTAAGTCTCAGGCAAGAGTATTCAATTCATTGTTCTGCCAGGAGAAGGAATATTAGAAGGGAAAACCATGTCTCCCTCCAAATCTCACACTACAGAGGAATCCCCAAATTAAGGAAGAAGATTCAGATGCTGGGCACCCAAAAGGGCAAATGTCCATGACAAAGGGAAAAGTTTAGGACTCAAGATCAAGTGACCTGACTTTCAGTTCAATCTTGTACAACTCCTTTCTTTATCGTGTGTGTGTGTGTGTGTGTGTGTGTGTGTGTGTGTGTGTGTGTGTGTGTGTGTGTGTTATTGTTTGGGACAGTTTACTATATACTGAATTTTCCCAGGATATGACAGCTATCTAAATAGAAGAAATGTTGCACCCTGTTGGAGTGTATTGTGTTTGGAAATTTACCAGCTGACAGCAGCACTGCTACTGGTAATGAATCACCAGTAAAATACGCATGCCACTGTCTGCTCGTCCCCTGCTTTAGACTCCTTTATTATGCCTTAATGGAGCTGTGTACAAGCATTGTGTATCAAAGTACATGTTATTTTGCTGTTGATTATCTTTCTTTTATTTCACCTCCATGGTACAATTAGGGCCTTACAAATTTTATTTTTTAATTTTTGTGTGTGCTGGGCATAGTGGCTCACACCTATAATCCCAGTATTTTGGAAAGCCCAGCTGGGAGGATTTCTTCAGCCCAGGAGTTTGAGACCAACCTAGGTAACAAAGCAAACCCTCATCTCTACAAAGAGATTTAAAAAAAATTAGTCGAGCATGGTGGCATGTAGCTATAGTCCTGGCTACTCTGGAAACTGAGATGGAAGATTCACCTGAGCCCAGAACTAAGAGGCTGCAGTGAGCCATGATCATACCACTATACTCCAGCCTGGGCGACAGAGTATAGGTAAGTTATATGTTATATAAGTTTCATTTCAAGGTAATATAAGGAGCATAACCGTATTAGTTAAAGGGTGTTGTGTCTAAAAACACTGCTTTAAATATAACTTAGAGTAAAATTTAGAAAACAAAAAGCTTTGTATGTATCTTCCTTACCTCTCTTTATTTTTTCAAATCGTTTTGTATTCTGTTTTGTTTTCTTAACCAGTTGGCTCCAATTCATTCACAGTCTTTGCTGGTTTCCAGGACTTAATGATAGTAGCTCCAAACCCCTATTGTTATTGTTTTTTAGTTGTTAAAATTCCTCCAATCTTACTTTTGCTCCAGACTAAATGTAACATATTGCTGTGGACTTTTTATTTCTGAAAAAAAAAAAAACTAATATGAGTTCCTTTTTGTACATGCTGGGGGCTTGAAAGCTTGGAAGAAGGAAAAATGACAGCTACTCTACATACCACACAGCAGTAGCAGGAGTTTCTACTACATTTCTTTCCTTTCTTCTTTTTCTTCTTTATTTCTTTTTTGAGACTGAGTAGTGTGCTGTCACCCAGGCTGGAGTGCAGTGGCACGATCTTTGCTCACTGCATCCTAAAATTCCTGAGTTCAAACAATCCTCCTGCTTTGGACTCCCTAGTCACTAGGTTTACAGGCATGGCCACTACACCCAACCACAGTGTTTCTTTTCTAGTAAAGAAAGTAGTCCCCTCTCAACCAAGAAGACGTCCCCACTTATATCAAGCATGTAGATATTTACCTAGTACTGTAGCTGTTTATTGATCACATTCACTTACTTGGTCTTTTTTTTTTTTTTTTTTTAGTTAGAGTCTCATTCTGTCCCCAAAGCTGTAGTACAGTGGCACAATCACAGTTTACCACAGCCTCAATCTCCTGGATCAAGGCAATTCTTCCACCTCAGTCTCCCAAATAGCTGGGACCACAGGCACATGCTAATGTTTGGCTTTTGTTGTTGTTGTTGTTGTTGTTGTTTTGTTTTTTTAGAGGCAAGGTCTTGCCTTTGCTGGTCTTGAACTCCTGGGCTCAAGTGATCCAACCACCTAGGCCTCCCAAAGTACTGGGATTACACGTGTGAGTCACAGCACACAGATTTACTTGGTCTTATTAACAAACTAAGCAAAGCTTCCTGCTTATTCCCTTGCCTACTTATGGTTTTTAAATAAATCACACTTTGTTTTTAGAATTTACTTTAAAAATATAAGCATTATCTAATTTTAGTTTTCGTTTAAAATAAAGGCTTTTTATTACAAAACAAGTCACATAGTAACCTTAGAAAATTTTGAGTTGATGTCTGCCTGTGTTGCCCAGGCTTGTCTTGAACTCCAGGCCTCAAGCAACCCTCCTACCCCAGTCTTTCAAAGTCCTGACATTATAACCCTGAGCCACCTCACCCAGCCTATGTAGTTTTCTATATACTGAGGCTATTTCAGTGGCCTATGAACACATGTATTTTAGAATTTGAACTCTAAAATTTGAAGCTATTCATTGATTGCTTAAGGAAGCACATGCTTTTTTTTTTTTTGAGTTGAAGTCTCACTCCGTCGCTCAGACTGGAGTGCAGTGGCCGCTCCCGGCCACCGCAGCCTCGCCTGCTGGGCTCCGGCAATCCTTCCGCCTCAGCCTTCCAAGTAGCTGGAACTACAGGTGCGCACTACCACACCCGGCTAATTTTTTATTTATTGTAGAGATGAGGTCTCGCCTGCCCAGGCGGGTCTCGAACCCGTGGGCTCAGGCAATCCACTCACCTCAGCCTCCCAAAGGCACGGATTACAGGCTGAGCCACTGAGCCCAGCAGGAAGGACATTCTTAAACAAGTACGAAGGAATGCTGCTGCCCTACATCTGAAATGTGTCTTCCTGATGGGACATCAATTTTACGGCATCTGGGTTAACTAGAATCAGTAGTGTTCAAACTTATTGACATGTGTAAAAATACATATAAATTATCTGTTACATAACCGGGGACCCCAAATTCTGTTGGCTCTTAGTAAAAGTTCCCATATTCTTCTTGATAAAGGTTGTATAACTCAGTGGGTGTCAAACCTGGTTCTCCACTGTTCAAGAAATCCTATTTTCTTCTCCTTAGTTTTTAAGAGCCAGCATTATCTAATTGTTCATCCCCTTACCAGTCCTAAACTCCTGAGAAATCCTGGTTTAACACAAGGCCTCGGTTTCCTACTACCTGGTTAGGTGATTGTTAGACTTCAATATTTAATAGGTAAATTTAATATTTTATAGCCTATTACCTCTTAAAATCTTGCCAGGGATTTAGGTTATCTCCTGAATTCCATCAGGTAAACAGAAATCTAATGTCTAATAAGAGAAAAGCACATTGAATTGTTTGCTGGTTGTTTGAATAGATTTGAGAAAAAGGAGAATCAATGCAGAAATATTCATTGATATATATCCAACACTGTTCCAAAAGCAAAAAAAGGCGAGGGGGGGGGTTCTTTAGCTGAGCACTCAGTCATGCTCAGGACCAACTGTAAAATCCCATAGATTTTGGTGAGATATGGTGGCTCATGCCTGTAATCCCAGCACTTTGAGAGGCCAAGGCGAGGAGAATGATCAAACCCAGAAGTTTGAGACCAACCTGGGCATAGTGAGACCTCAGACTCTACAAAAAGTAAAAATAAATTAAAAATTAGTTAGGCATGGTGACACGTGCTTGTAGTCCCAGCTTCTTGGGAGACTGAGATGGAAGGCCCACCTGAGCCCAGTCAGTCAAAACTGCAGTGAGCCATGATAGCACCACTGCACTCCAGCCTGAGTGACAGAGTGAGACCTCAACAACAAGAAGAAAAGATTTTAATTCCTGTTAGGTCTGTGGGCCAGGGCTGCGGGTAAGATACAAAGAATTGCACAGATATTAGATTGAGAAAGACAGTTTATTTAAAAAATAGATTTAAAAAAGAGAGAGCAGGCACTTCAAGGGAGAGAAGTGGGGCAGACATCTGAAGAAAACTTGGTGACTAGTGCTTGAGACCACATGTTTTTAAAACTTCTTTTGGGGGCGAGCAGGGAAGGCATTCACAGGTGATGGACGGCAGGCAGACGGGTGAGTCAATCACATAGATGAGAAAGGCAGGTAAGCACAGGAGCTGTTGCCATGGGGATGGGCTGGTGGTCTGTGTCACATAGGTCAGAAGGGCTGATCACAATAGATTGGGTGAGCTTGGCCCTTTATGGCAGGAAGACAAATACTTTGGATAAAAGTGTTTAGTTAGTAGGAAGCATGCTTAATGGGTTGCAAGACAATCATCACTGACTACCTCTGGCAAACCAGTTCTCTTCCCTGATAATGACCAAGGGCAAGTTAAAATAAAATGCTAAAGAAGCATGACAAAGCTTAAAATGGCTGCTCTTTGACTAGTTACTCCATTCTGGCTTTTCACCCTTTCGATTTCTACTGTCTTAAATCAGGCTTTTATCAGTTTTTGCCTCGTCTGTTGGAATAGCTCTGCTTTGTTCCCTCCTTTACTCCCCATGGCTCCCATGGCCTCCATAACATTGCCAGAAGGATCTTTCTAAAACACAAGTTTGATCGTATTGTTCTCTTCCTTGTCTCCCCATGACTGTGAAACAATGGGGCCTACCCTTCCTTCTCAATTCACACAACAATGTTAGCAACATTTGCTATTTCCTCCTTGTATTTGCTGCTATGCCTGGAATGAATTTTTTCCACTGTCTCTCCTTTAAATTCAACTAAAATATCACCTCTGGGAAGCCATTACTCATTCTCCCAGATAATCACTTTCTCTCCCGTGCTTCCCTGATACCTCCTACACCCCATATAATGTATCATTATTCTTATTTCCTCAGTGTTGCCCCCATCAGACTGAGAGTTCTTTAGGGGACTGAACCAATTTTATTAAAATCTGAATCCTCAGCATTTAGTACAGTGCTAGGCACACCGTAAGTGCTCCATGTACATGTATTAAATGAACAACTTTTCACAGGATGATACTTTTAGTTCTCTCACAATCTAGATAAGGCCTCCTTAAATCATCCAAGACCCTTTTTATCTAGAGAGAGGTGTCTTGAATGTCTGAGGATTTTGTCTACTGTAAAGGTATTAATAAAGTGGCATAATCAGTCTGGCTTATGTAGATCTCTTCTGAATTTAATTTATATGATGCAATCTGACAGAACATGATTGCTGTGATTGAATAAAAGAAATTGAATTCCTGAACACATAGGAAGGGCCTATCAAGCATCCAAAAAGAACCCTTGGAGACACAGACCTTATCAGAGCATTCAGATGATTGCTATATTTTTTTCTCATCTTAACTTTTATTTTCCTTCTATCCCTGGAATCCTGTCCCATTGGATCTGATGAATTTATAGATCACTTGGGATTTCTTGTTGATTATTAAGTTTTTAATTTTTTGCTTCTTAAAAAATATTTAAATTTATTTTTAAAAAATAAAATAGAGATGGGGTTCTTGCTATGTTACCCAGGCTAAGTTCAAACTCCTGAACTCAAGGGATCCTCCTGTCTCAGTCTCCCAAAATGTGGATTACAAGTGTAAACCATAGTGCCTAGACAAGTTTAAAATTTTTAAATGGCTGACTATTCGGTTTTGTTATTGTCTTAGTCATTTTCGTGGTAATTTTCTTAGTTATCTGTTATTCCTGTTTGTTTCTATTTTTAATTGTGTTTTGTCTTTGTTAAATCAATTTTCCAAATGGGAAATAATTTGGCTATCCCTGATTCATAAGGGGTTTAAACGACTATTTCTTTGACATTTGCTGAATTTAAGGAGTTGCTTTTGCTCATCATTCTTTTGTAATTTTAGAAATTTTGTTTACTGAGATTTTTTTCAAATGTGAGGATACTAATTTTGATTTTTATTTTCTGTTTCTTTTATTCATAGATATAACTAAAACATCTAGACCAGTGCCTGCTAATATCTGGTGCTTAATAAAAATCTGTTTAATGAATGAGTGAAATTTTAAATCAAATGCTTTTTTATATTTATTTTTTAATTTTAAACATATGGGGTACAATTCAGGGTTAAGTCTACAAATGTTCATTAGGCAGGTGCACTTGCTGATGAGGCTTTAAAAAAAAATCTCCCACCTTCTAGTGTTGGTTATAATACATGTGTAAATTGACTTTTTCCCTTATTGAAATCAATAAAATGCTTATAGTGCTTTTAATAGAAATAAAACAATTACAAATGTGTTATTAACATTTTCTTAAAGAACAGACTTTTTAAAAAGTAAATTGGCTTTTTCATCCTCAGTTATATGATCTAAGAATTGTTTTTAAAATGTGAAGATGGACTGAGTGACCTTTCACAGAAACAAAGAACTGAATATCACATGTTCTCACTCCTAAGTGGACCTTGAACAATTATCATAATTGCTGGGGGGAGATGGTGGGATTGACAGTAGTGGGAAACTGCCAGGGGAAGGGGGGGCACACCTCATCAACAAGGGTACCTGCGTAATGAACATTTGTATACCTAACCCCGAACTGCACCCCACATCTTTAAAATAAAAATTAAAAAAAAATAAAACATGAAGATGGAGCTTCTGTATTTAAACTTGTACTCCCCTTAATTATTGCTAACAAGAAGATAATCCATTTTGATCAATTCTGTTCTGAGCTTCTGTGTTTTCCATATTTAAAGGTAATTTGCTTAACTACCTGGCATCTTCATGACACAACACTCTCCAGGTCCCAAGAGGCCCCAGGAGACCTATCAAGGGCAATTCCAGGAATGCAGCCACAGCAGCCCCTAGGCAGCTTGCTGCTGGTCAGCATTGAGAGAACTACAGACTTATTTAAGAAAGCAACGCTTGGAGACAGTAGACAGACAGTAAGGTCACGCTTCACCACAAGACACCAAGACTATGACTCATGGAAAGTCCCAAACCTTGAGACTTAGAGGAAGAAAACATCTGACATGCATCACTAATAAAATGTGTATGTGTTACACTATACAGCGTACAACTACAGAAGTAGGAAAATTCAGAACACAGATAAATATAATTGCCCCATCAACATGTAAATCAAGGTGTATATAAATGAATTACGACTGAATGCATAATATAATTGTTAAGTATTTAGTATGTAAAATATTTACTAAGCCACTGCACTAAACATAATACAGAACTAATATGGTTAAGATTCCCAACATAACTTAAATTTTAATCGTTTTAATTACTGAAGATATTTTAATGCAAATAATCATTTACATTGATCCCATAGAGTTGTCATGAAATTAAATTATTTTGAAAATAATGATAATTATTAAACACTTAAATATATCGAGTAGTGGCTAAGGGTTTTATATGAACCAGGTTTTGGGTTTTTTTTCCTATTCTATAGATAAAGAGCTAGTCAGGGTGAATCCATATATGCCTGGCTCCAAATTTGTCCTCTTCATTACCATGACCTTCAGCAATATCCCCTCATGCCTTTACACTAGAGTACCCACATTGGCTATTTTCCACAGTTAATACAGGTTGAGTATAACCTGTTGTGGATAATTATCCGGACATTGCCTCTTTCCCCCATATCTCTTCCCCAGGGAGCTGTGTATATATCCCATCAAGAAGTTCATATTGAGAACTGATGTGCTATAAGGGTTGTGTTTAAGAAACTGGTACTGGTAAATTTTGCCTGCGAGTAAGGGTAGTTAAAGTATGCCAGCATCACGGTGGGTGGTGTCTACCAAACAAGACCGCTTAACTAGCGGGCACAAAGAAATTGGAGAAGCCATACAGGAACTGGCAAAGGTTAACATAATCTGCCCTGCTCACAGCCACTGTAATTCTCCAGTATGGCCGGTAAGGAAACCAGATGGTACCTGGAGAATGATGGTAAGCTACCAGGAATTAAATTAAGTTGTATCTTCTCTGTACACTGCTGTGCCCAGGGACACAACTGTGCACATACCATTTTGTAGTGGATTTGGCTGATGCTTTCTTCAGTATTGATATTCATGCAGATTGTTAAGACCAGTTTGCATTCACCTGGGAAGGAAAACAATGGACGTTAGAGGTGCAGCCAATGGGGTATTGCACAGCCTTACATTATATCATGACATGATCGCTCAAGATTTGGAAAGTTGGAGGTGACGGTGTCTCTATTTCATTATACAAATGATGTCATGCTAACTTCTGATTCTCTTACAGACCTAGAACAGGTGGCTCCTCAGGTGATTAAACATTTGCAGGGAAAGGATGGGTGATGAATCAAAACAAGCAGCAAAGAACTGGCTTATCTGTCAAATTATTAAGGGATATTTGGTCTGGTAAGACAAAAGTAATGCCATTAGCTGTTACTGATAAGATACAGGGTTTTCCCTGCCCAGCACTTCCCAGACAGCTACAAGAGTTTTGGGGCTTGTTGGGGTCTTGGAGGGCATTTATCCCACATTTAGCAAAGATCATACGATCCCTATATAGACTGGCCGAGAAAATGATCCCAGTGGGACTGGACAGAGGTATGCAACAGCATTCAGTGCTGCCAGTAGTGCTGTGGGTGCCATCTAGGCACTGGGCATTCTAGACCAATCCCTTCCCTGTGCATTGGATGTGAATGTTACCCAGGAGGGTTATGTCTGGAGGCTCTGGCAGAAATAGGGAAAATCTCGACTTTCCATTGGTTTTTGGTCACAGACCTGAAAAGGTGCCAAAACCTGCTACAGCCCCATTGAACAGCAGCTCAACACAGTATATCAGGCTCTCTTGGTAACAGAGCCAATTACTAGACCAGCTTCAGTAACTGCACACTGCCCTGCTCATAGCACTTTGGGTCCATGACCTCTCTCTCAGGCCCCACACCCCAGCCACACAGAGGATGACCTTGACCAAATGATGAGCATATCTCCAGCAGCATAGCAAGTTCTTCACAAGTTCTCTAAGTCAGGGACTGCAGCAGCTCCTAGGGCCAATAACGTTCATCAATGCAGGTGAGCAACCAGAAGAGCAAACAATGATTACCCACTGGGTCCAGGAGAGGATTGGTATACGGATGGATCGTGTCAGGGACAATCCCCTCGATGGCCTGCTGTTGCATACCAGCCAAAAGCAGACTATCTGAATGGAAGACGGGACTGGGCAGAGCAGCCTGTGGGCAAAGTTGCAAGTAGTGTGGTTGGTGATATACAAAGAGCCAGGCCCACTGACAAATTGCACAGACAGTTGGGCGGTGTTTAAAGGACTGACTCTGCGGGTGCCACAGGGCCCAGCAGCAATGGACAATCATGAACAAGCCCCTGTGGGGCCAATATATGTGGCAGGGCATTTATGCCATGATCCTCCAAAGGAAAATCACCATCTTCCATGTCTCCAGGCACTTTCTCCTGCAGAGTCCAGGGAATGATGAGGCAAACACCTAGCCCATGTAAAATGTCTAGAAGAGTCTTTGACCTACTGGCAAGTGGTCTATATCTGCCTCTACCCGTGTAGGAAAGGGCCTGGTTCACTACCATTTGTGTTGATACTACTATAAGACTACTGCAGGCCTGTCCTAGCAAGTGAGCTACAACCATTAGAGGACTGTCCCAGCTCCTGGCAGCATATGTCACCCCTGTAGTCACTGACAGCGACCAGGGAACCCCCTTTACTGGAACTCAAGTGAAACAATGGGCTGAGCAGCTGCATATTGACTGGTGATTTCACCTACCTTACAATCCCACGGGTGCTGGTCTAATAGAAAGATATAATGGCATGCTTAAGGACACTTTAAAAACAGGTTGGTAAGGCTTGGTGACTCAGCCTGTAATCCCAGCACTTTGGGATGCTGAGGCAAGTGGATTGCCTGAGTCGGCAGGTTTGAGACCAACCCAGGCAACTTGGCAAAACCTCGTCTCTACAATAAATCAAAAAATTAGCCGGGCTAATTAATTACGGTAGCACACCTATAGTTCTGGCTACTTGGAAGGCTGAGTTGGAAGGATCACTAAAGCCCAGCAGGTAGATGCTGGAGTGGCCATGAGTGTGCCACTGCACTCCAGTCTGGGCGACAGAGTGAGACTCCAACTCAAGGAAAAAAAAAAAAAAAAAACACAGGTCAGCACTCATTGCAGGGATGGACAACCTGATTATATGAAACAATCGCAGTCTCAACAAGAGACCTCAGGCTGACCATTCAGCATCCGTGGACATGCTGACACAATCGTGGGCAACGCCCCTGAGTATGCAAATCCGGATGCAAAAATCATCATTGCAACCAAACTGGGGAAGCGAGACTAACCCATTTCTGCCTTCCCCATAGGACATAGTACCGGGAGAGAATACTCTCCATTGGCCCTGGGAAGTTCAATCTGAAATCGGTCGGTGTTTTCTGCTGGCTCCCAGGAAGAGGGGATTGATCATAATTTAGATATTCATCCTATGGTTCTGGGAAAATGAATAAATACCATTAAGTATAATAATCCCGTGTCTCAAATGCTTAAAAGGGAGACTATTGTCATTTCTATGTGGCAATTCAGGACACCCTTGCTGTCCTTTCATGTCATGGACAGGAGGGCTCCTGGGTCTAAGAAAGCATGATCTTCCAGGCTGAGCAGGCCTCCCCAGAGTGTCCTGGTGTTGTCACAGAATAGGAATGTTGCATGTGTTTTGACTGACAATGGAAATTTACTTCTGCTTTTTCCTGTCAAACGTTTATCTTATTACCATTAGCCTCTGCTCTGGAAAGACGTTCCTCCAAGGGGTGCGGACTCTCACCCGCGTGCACAAGTCAGCATGCTGGGTCTCCTCAGAGTTCCCCGCATTGGTCACATCAGAGATGCCCTCTTTCCTGATGAAGTTTCACAAATGTGCAAGGTGGAATTACAAAAGAGAATAGCCCAGATATGCTCAATGCCGCGCTGGGGGCACCTGTGCCATACTTCAAATTAAATGCTGAGTAGACATTTCCTGACAATGATCATAATGTGTTTATGGCTCTTACGACCCTTAATACTGAAATCAGTGCTGTTTGCCAAATTTCTGAAAACCCCTTTTCCAAGTGGTTTGGGTCACTAAGCTCCTTCTGGCAAAGGCATTTAAAAATATCATAGAGGTATTATAATCCCTATAGTGATTTTGCTATTTGGATCCTGTGCCCTCTATCGCATATGTGGGATATGGATGCCATGTTTGACTTATGTGTCCACCTCAGGGAACTTGCAGAAAATCAATGTTATGTGAAGACTGTAGAGGTGGAAAGAGATCCGTGTAGGGCTGAAGTGTGGGGTAATTGTCGGGATATTGTCTCTTTCCTCCAGATAGAGGCTTTTTTCTGCCCCTCCCCCAAGGGCAGCCAAGGTTGGTCTCTGTAGGGTATGCATATTTTCTGTACACGTCACAAGGTTATCAAGTCATGGGATGCAGGTAACCAAGCAGCCTAAAGACAATGTAGTGGTCACTTTTTTTTTTTTTTTTGAGTCAGAGTCTCACTCTGTCACCCAGGTTGGAGTGCAATGGCACACTCACAGCTACCCCAGCGTTGACCTGCTGGGCTCCAGTGATCCTTCCACCTCAGCCTTTCAAGTAACCAGAACTACAGGTGCGCACTGCCACGCCTGGCTAATTTTTTATTTATTGTAGAGACGAGATCTCAACAAGTTGCCCTGACTTGTCTCGAACCCACGGGCTCAGGCAATCCACTCACCTTGGCCTCCCAAAGTGCTGGGAATACAGGCTGAGCTACCAAGCCCGGCTGGTCACTCTTAATCAATGTGATTGTAAACACTGTGTAGGAATCTGAATAATGAACTTGCTTGATTATAGAACTGTTTGCTGTGCTGTCCCAAGGTGCAGATGCTTTCGTCACTGACTGGCTGCCATTGGTGACCCTCCCATAAGTGTAATAAATCAATGTCTCTCCCTGCCTAGATCTCTGAGGTGACTTCTTTGGAATTGGTAAACATTACCCAGATTTGGATCTTCATTACACTTGTCTAAAATACTTTGAGCCAGAAGGGTTTCAGATTTCACTTGTAAAAATTTTTATTACATTTGCATACACATAATTAGTTACCTTGGGGATGAACCCAAATTTAATGTGAAATTCATTTATGTTTCATATATAACTTGTAGACATAGGCTGAAGGTAATGTTATACATATTTCTAATAATTTTATTGGCCAGGCATGGTGGCTTATGCCTGTAATCCTAGCACTTTGGGAGGATTGTTTAAGCCCAGGAGTTTGAGACCTGTGTAAACAAAATTGTGAGACTTCACCTCTAAAAAAAATTTTTAAATTAGCCAGGTGTAGTGGTGCGTGCCTGTAGTCCCAGCTACCCAGAAGACTGAGGTAGAAGGATCACCCGAGCCCAGGAAAGAGGTTGAGGCTGCAATCAGTTTTGATCAAGCCACTGCACTCCAGCCTGAGTGATGGAGACCTTGGCTCAAGTAAGTAAGTAAATAAATAAATAAACAAACAAACAAATAAAAAGAATAATTTTGTGCATAAAATAAAGTTTTAGGCCAGGCTCAGTGGTTCAGCCTATAATCCCAGCACTTTCAGAGGCCAAGGTGAGTAGATTGCCTGAGTACACCGGTTCGAGACCAGCCCAGGCAATTTGGCAAGCCCTCATCTCTACAATAAAATTAAAAAATTAGCCAGGTGTGGTAACACCACCTGTAGTTCTGGCTACTTGGGAGGCTGAGATGAAGAATCGCCAGAACCCAGTAGGTCGACGTTAGGGTGGCTGTGAGTGTGCTACTGCACTCCAGCCTGGACAACAAGAGTGAGACTCCTACTCAAAAAATAAAATAAAGTTTTGACTATGACCCATCATGTGAGTTCAGGTGTGGAATTTTCCACTTGTGGTGTCGTGTTGGCAATCAAATATTTCAGATTTTGGATTTCAGATGTTTGGGTTAGGGACACTCAACCTGTAATAACACCTCCTGTTGGCCTCTCTTTTTTCACTTTCTTACTTTCCTACTTATTTACCATGTTTGCTAGGACTACCTACTGTATTAGTTTATGAGGGGTGAACAACAAAATACCACAGACTGAGTACTATAGACA